AATTTGCGATGATGCTACTGGATTGCGCCACAGCTGCCATATTGCTCCAGATTGTAATTTACTCGCCGCCCTTCTGTCATACATCGCCCGTGTCATACATGTTGCGACCCACGCACTCTCGCCCCTGTTATACATACCTCGGCAACAATTTCTGTACTCCGCCCCTCCCGCCTCACCTGCCTCGACCAGTCATACAATTTGCGATAACGCTACTGGATTGCGCCACAGCTGCCATATTGCTCCAGATTATGATCTACTCGCCGCCCTTTCGTCATACATCTCGTGATTCGCCCATCAGAGCTTGTGTCATACAAACCTCGCTAACAAATCTCGACTTCGCCCACCCGGATAGCCCGCCCTGCCTGTCATACACATTGCGACACTTCCAAAACACGCTTCGATGATAATTCTTCAAATTGTCATACAAACACTCGGGCATAATGACAGTGCTTGCTACCCTCTCGGATTGCTACCTTCTCTGTCATACATCTCGCGACTCGGGCAGCAGAGCCTGTATCATACATACCTCGCTAACAAGCCTCGACTTTGCCCACCAGGATAGCCCGCCCTGCCTGTCATACACATTGCGACACTGCCGATACACGCTTTGATGATAATTCTTCAAACTGTCATACAAACCCTCGGGAATAATGACAGTGCTTGCTACCCTCTCTGCTTGCTACTCTCTCTGTCATACATCTCGCGACTCGGGCAGCAGAGCCTGTATCATACATACCTCGCTAACAAGCCTCGATTCTGCCCACACAAATGGCCCGTCTTCGCGTCCTGTCATACACATTTCGACACTGCCAATACACGCCTCGATCATAATCCTCCACCCTGTCATACAAACGCTCATTCCCCTCTGTAATACATCCCGTCACTCGTGCAGCAGAGCCTGTCATACATACTTCCCTAATAAGCCTCCACTCTGCCCACCCGAATGGCCCACCTTCGTGTCCTGTCGCGTCCTGTCATACAGATTTTGACTTTGACGGAACTCTGTGTACATGTGCAGTACGTTAATGCTATACTTCGTAGACACCTATGGTCAACGGGTTAAGGCACGCCATCTTACCCTGCTACGTTTTTGCCTTAACACGGAGTTCAATCCCGACGCGTGCGCTGGACTCTATCATCCCTCGTGTGTAGAGTCATGTCACTTGCCCAGAGCACAATTCCAGGTGAATCATGAGTTCACCCTTTTGTTACGCAATGCACAACACTATGATACATGGACGGTGGCATAGGAAGCTACCAAAGGATGGGAGAACGACGATTTTTTGTACTGTGACAGTTCATGGGTATCTAAGGAAGAATGCGCAATAACTATCTAAGGAAGAATGCGCAATAACGGAACACGGAGACTGGTGGTGACGAGTGGGGCACGACAAGAAGTTCAAGATGATACGAAGAGGTGGTGCGGAATGGGTAGGGACGACAGAGTTTCACGCGGTCTTGGACTTGCGAGTACGCCTAGCATATGTGGAATGAGAAAAACGATGAACCATGCCGATGGTAACTCACTTTGCAGGGACGTCGTTTTCATCGTTGATAGCAGCCGTCTTCGCGGAACGTCTGTAACAGAAGGAGTTGAGCGACCAGAGCCCCGCATAAACACACGAAACCTACTTTTGAGTACGCCGCGGTTCGTTAATGTCCGCGGTCGCGGGCGTCTTGGTTGCCAATGTCAAGACCCAGGTGACATCCTCGACGGCCTCGAGTACTTTGACGTTGACCCCGCCCTCGTTGCGGGCCATGGCGCCAAGGAAAATCCAAACCAAAGTTAGTACGACGACGACGACCCCGTTTTTGCCGTTCTTAATTTCGGGGAAGGTGGTGCTCTGACCACGGGGAACTGCACGTGAAAGTGGTGCACTTGGGCGGCAGCGCCAGCTCGGCTGCAACGAGATCCACCACGCATTCCAGGAAAAAAAGTCCTTTTGAGGTTCATTGCAGGTGACCATGTATGTCGTGCGCTTGGTGTTGTTGATCCACTTCGTGGTCATCGACGGACGCATTAAGGACTTCGTAACGCTGTTCTGAACATGGATTGAGTGCCAGTGAAGTCTGTTATGGGGCAGTACTCGACTCACCCGGCTGAGGAATCGTGCCTTTGCCTCAAACAGGATGTAGGCTCGAAGCATGTTGACGAATGCGGGCTCGGTCACCGCCTCCGCAAAAAAAGCAACTGCAGCCGTGAAGTATTCGGGAAGGTCCTTGGACAAGCTGATGTTCTTGACGAGGTCACCAGTCGGCTGAGAGAAGTCGAGAGTAAATCCCTCGGCACCTGTAATTTTGAGCTTCTTTGGCCGCGAAGATGCCCGGGTCTGGATTTTTTTTGCTGAAGGCAGAGCGTTCTCCTCTTCGTCCAGATCTGAGTATGTCACCGAGAGGACGGGATGATCTGAATCATCCTCTGACACAGATGGTCGGACGGCATCGCCCTGAGAGTCGACGGTTGGGCCGCTTGCGGCGATCTCAGCCGCAGCGGGGGCAGGGACAGACGAAGAGAGGGCACTGGCAGGCTGCGAGGGAGATGTCGTGGACGAAGGGGTTGCGGGATCGTGAAGAGTCGATGTTCCGACTGCAGCGCCTGCAAGACCGATGCCGACAGAGCCTGCGATGACCTCAGGTGCAGCTGGGCGAGGTTCAGAGAGGGCGGTGACTGATGAAGAAGAAGCATTAGCAGGCTGCGAGGAAGGCGCCGTAGGCGAAAGGGTTGCGGGGTCTTGAACAACCGGCGTTCCGTTCGCATCACCTGCAAGACCAACGTCGCCGGAGTCTGAAGCGACCTCAGGTGCAGTTGGAAGAGGCGCCGTGAGGACCGTAACGGGTGGAGGGGAGGTGATCGCAGGCTGCGAGGAAGGCGTCGTAGGCGAAGGGGTTGCGGGGTCTTGAACAACCGGCGTCCCGATCGCAGCACCTGAAAGGCCGACATCGCCGGAGCCTGAAGCGACCTCAGGTGCAATTGGAAGAGGCGCCGTGAGGACCGTAACGGGTGGAGGGGAAGTGATCGCAGGCTGCGAGGAAGGCGTCGTAGGCGAAGGGGTTGCGGGGTCTTGAAAAACCGGCGTCCCGATCGCAGCACCTGAAAGGCCGACATCGCCGGAGCCTGAAGCGACCTCAGGTGAAGCTGGAATAGGCGCTGTGAGGATCGTAACGGGCGGAGGGGAGGTGGTCGCAGGCTGCGAATGAGGCGTCTGGGGCAAGGCTGCTTGGAGGTGCTGTTGGATCGGGACAGATGCTGGGGCTTCAATATGGGCGTTATCCGAGAATGAAATGAGTCCCAGGAGTTGAGGATCGATAGCGTCATCCACAGGCTTGTTGACTGGTTTTAATGCAGTATCATGTGGTCGCATAGCGACGGCGGCAGGAGGTGCACATCCAATCGGCGGTGTGTTTTCGTCAGCTTGCGGGAGGACCGTGGAAGAACTCGCGGTAGGCGCTGAGCCAGGCTTTGCGGAATTATCAGCCGCAACAACAACACGGCGGCGCATGCGTTCCTGCGAAGCTGCGACAGTGGTGAGATTTACGCACGTGGATGCAGATGCTATACTTACTGTATGAACCTTCACAGAAGGCGTGGAACACGTCTCGCCAGTCCGTCTTGAAGTCGGAGTTGACGTCGACGAACTCACATCCAAGGAGATTCTTGCCGGCGCCATAGCTATTGAGGTCGTCTGAGTGTTCGAACAATACAAACATGCAAGCAACTTACTACATGGTCTGGATTTCCGCAGTTTCTGAGCGCGGGAAGGGTCCGCCAACCATGATAGAGATTTGTAAACCGGTCTGTCGATGCCAGCTCTCTGCTGCTGCTGATATAGTATGCGGTAGATTATCGATAGCTCTGAGGGCAAAATGAGTACATGTATATTATAGACGGTAAATGTGTGCTTACTCCATCATGCGATACGCTCGTCGCATATCCTCCGTGTCCTGGACGCCAACCGGAAGGACTAAATCGTCCCTTTGGAGATAACCCTCTTTGCAATAGTCCTGGACGGCTTGAAGCGTCTCTGGATCGGCAGCGTCGAGATGCTGCTGGGCAAATTGCGACTGAAATTTGACCTAAAATTCACAGCATAAGCGAACGTGTAGTGTCGCAAAACGGCGCACGTACCTGTTGATCGGACGTCCAGCCCTCTTTCATTGCCTGTGCCCAGGCGGCCTTGTATTCCGCTTGCACATCTTCATTGTGATAGTACAGGCGTTGCCATGCTTGATACTCCTGAGGCTTCCTGGGTTTGGTCTCGAGAGAGAGCACACGAGATCGTACGGGACGCTTGATGCCAGGAATGTCAGGACCAGTGCCGCGCTCGCGGCTGTGGTTAGCGAACCAGGTCTTGATTTGCTGTGGGTCCGCGTCAGCGTCAATGCGTACTCTGAAGCGCTTTACTACTCACCGCCTTGCGTTCCTTATAGCGCTGCACAACATCCTCATGCACCCTCGCCTGCGCGACATCTCCTCCACAACTCGCTATCTCCTCTGGCGTCGGATCAATAGGGAAGTCCTTGAAGAACAGAGGCGAGATCTTCAACATGAAGTTAATCTTCGACTTGGTGGTCCCCCACTCGCTTAGATACTTCTCCATCCACTTATTCTCCTCCTCGGAGAATACACTGCATCGAGTCATGATCAAGAGCACAAGAAGGTACAAGTTCTCAAGGATGATAAGGCAAGTTAGACGAAAAATTGAGGGCGTATGACTGAACACGATAAATGCCTCCAGCGCCATTGATATACAGGGCATGGCCGATCCGTCGCACATTGCTTGGCCACCTTTCCGACTACAACAGCAAGTCGATATCCGACCCGTTGCTCAGCCCAGCTCTCAGTGATGGTCGTTCTCCGCCGACATCCGCCTAAATCATCTGCACAGATCAGCACATTGTTACAGGCTCCGCTCAGCATCGCGGCGTGCTGCACCACCCCTCCTCGTGGCGACAAAGGGTCGTAGAAGAATTTCAGCGACTAGACAGTGCACTTCCTAATGAGAGGTCCGTCTGGAACAGGCTCGAACCTTTCGCGTGTTGCGGAATGGTGCGAGGATCTCAAGGTAATCGGACTTTGTTCCATTGCCTTGGCCCCTCTTTCTGACGAGAAACGCAGGTCTGCCTCGGATGTGCTCTTGCCATGGCCATGGTCCGTTTCACTACTTTTCTGCCGTACACCTCCGCTGATCACGGCTTGATTTGTCTGCACGTATCTCTCAGCGCATCTGTCTCCCTCATGGTGCTGGATGTTCATACATGGTATTTGTAACAGCGCAGCCTTGTGCATCCCCACTCTATCCAACTTGTCAGGTAAGAATCCAACGCTCTCTGCACAATCAATCATAATCGACGCTTTGGCCTCGTGTTGTTCGAAGCTCAACTTATAGCGAGCGGGCTACTTCCATCCTCTTGTAGGATGTTGAATGACATGTTTGGTCGCGCGGCACCTGTACTGACAAATCGGGGCCAGAAGCACTCCGCGTGTCACCCTGCAACCTTGTCCAGCACCACCCTCTCGTATACCGCCGGTGACGATCACTTAATCCCCTGGTTATCTCCTTATTCCTAAATCCGTGGCCACCTTGTGGCACAGAGCGTGCATGACATCGCCAAAGAAGACCTTCGCGTCAACTTGCAAGGCACTTCAAGATTGAATTCAGCGCCCGGGCGTTATGCAGGCACGTTTCGCGCCGTGACAGATATACGCGGTCACCAAATCTTGCCATGAGAATCGGGATAAAGGCTGGCGACTAGGGTGCGTATCCCCAGTCTCAACTTCAACCCACTAGCTTTCCCCTCGCTTTCACTCTCAATGGTTAGGCAGACCATCGCCGCTATCGTGCGCCCATCCTTCGCTTAATATATCCGGCTGACACTCTCAACAGACTCCGGAGGAGTGTGACAACATTCTCGCCCAGATCAGCGCCCTGGTTGATAGGCTGCAGCTCCGTAAGTCATATGCTGTTGTACGCATCGCATGATATCGACAACTCATCAAACCAACAGGCCACGGCAACGACCTCAACGACCGCAACGGCAACGGCGTGGACAACGTCGTTGACAACGCTGACAACGATGACGGCGCATCCCTCGCCACAGCCAGTCGCCCCCCAACTCCGCCCCCCTCGGATGCCGGCTCCACTTCCGGTCGCGCGACCTTTGCCTTTGCGCGCGGTAACAGCGGTTCGGCCAACCTGAGTCCTTTGCGGGGATCCACCATCGCTGTGCAGACCTCTGGTCCCACCGTCGTTCCAATCCTCCCGAATGCGCGCTTTCTCCATGCATCCGCTCACGACTCTGCGATATTGACGGGACGTTATGCGTACTCTAGCGAGTATTGCGAGCCCATTCCGCCCAGCCCCGAGCCATGCAGGCCCGGCCGCTCTGTCGCCATCGCTCCGATCACGAATGGCCCTTGGTACGCAGTGGTCCGCGGGAAGTCAGTTGGGGTCTTCCATACCTGGTAAGAACTCGATCCCTGAATGCGTGCACAATTAACTGTTTCTTTAGGGAGACCGTTTCCCCTCTCGTCCTGCATGTCAGTGGTTCGATTTACCGCCGCCACCCATCTCGCCAGTCTGCAGAGCAAGCTTTTGAGGCGGCATTGCAAGCTGGCGACGTCGCGGTGGTTTTCTAAGCGTTGCGTGATGCCAACATTCTGCGGACCCGTCTTCTTGCGACACTGTATGTATTTGTAGATCACTCGAAGCGCGTTTCAGCCCGGTTTGCCGTCGTCTCTTGTCGAAAATCTCTCCATCAGCCCACTCAGTCGAATACACCTCGCCTTGCCTTGCCTTGTAGTATATCTTGCTGTGGTCTGACATGTACTACATAACGACCTACGTATGTAGCACAATATACCTTATTCAGCCGCCTCTGGATTTGCGAGAGAATGGAACGTCAGGACACGAGGCTCACATCCGGCAGGCCGGGGAGCAGATATTCGGGGCTGGTCCACAGTCCACAACATCTTAGCAGCTTTAGGAGCATTCCCGGCGCAGGGACTCCATGAGCTCCCCTTACTATAGTCTAAGTGTATCAATGTGCTTTGTGAAGTATGTATCCGTCCGGCTCACTCTTGTTTCCTGTGGAATAGCTCAGCCATCCCTACTCGGCCGTATACGACATTGCCCCGCTCCGTTGCAGATCTCTTGTGGATTCATATACTGCGTGATTCCCTACATACCCAGCACACTATAGTTTACTCTGCCGCCTACTGAATATGATGGGAGGACAGGTTATTGAGACGTGAGGCTTGCACGTCAGCCAGGCAGGGGAGTTGACGTTCGAGACGGCTCCACAGATCTGCAACATCGTAGCGGCTTGAGTATTCCCAGTGCAGGCACTTCATGAGCTCCCCTTCTATAATATAAAGTGTATCAGTTTACTTAGTGAAGTATGTATCCGTTGCGCTCATTATCGTTTCCTGTGGAATAACTCCATCATCCCTACTCAGCCGTATATGCCAATGCCCTGCTCTATTCCATATCTCATTCACGGTGGACTCACGCGTACTGCATGACTCTCTACATACTTAATACACTACAGCGTATCATGCTACCTCTTAATTTTGCTTGGACGACGGGCTATGTAGGCGCAAGGCTTGCACATCCGCCAGGCTGTGGAGCAGGCATTTGAGACGGCTCTATCAGTCAGTAACATCGCAATTGAAGTACACAAATTGTATCTAAAGACTCATCGTTGGAGATACTATGGATTGTTACTCGGTGTGTATGAGATATCTCGAACTTGAGGAGCCGTGATGATTGTAGTTGACGATGTGAGCTGCATCCTCTCATGCAATACAGCTTCTTACCTCCCCGCGCGCGATTACAACAGAAGTCTGAATACTTTGTGTATGCACTGGAGATCACGGAACTCTATATATGACTGTGAAATTACTAGCTCCTGATATGTACATTCATGGCATGAACGTATATTACCTTGCACAACATGAAGCAAGATGTTCGTGTCCGGATCGCGACGGCAGACAGTGCCGCATTTCGGTACTACAGCGGCACTGACATGCCGACTTCGGCCTCTCATTGCCGACTGCGGCATCGGAGTGCCGTCCTCGGCTTCTGAATACTGACTGCCAAACTTCCGCTATCGTCCAGCCTGCACCTTGCCATCGCCGCTGGTCTGATATGTCTAAACGGAAGAAACTGCCGACATTCACATCTGCTTCAGAGTCACAATTTCCAATCCCAGCTCGTGCGAGGTCGGTGATCTTGAAATCCAAGAAGAATGGCCGACTCAGTGCATCCGCAACCAACATGCCGTCAACATGCATGGAGACCCCAGCGGCACAGCATTCCAACGAGAGCAATCTAGCATCTGAGGGCCTTGGGCAAACTGACGGCGATGCAGATGCATCTCAAGCACGCAAGAAGGCGCGCAAGGGCACGCAGGCAGAGTCGACGACGATCGGGGTGAGTTGACTACGTCCGATCTATGCATCACCTAGTATCAACGAGATCTTCGTGATATAGGACCGCATGAATCGATGGATTCCGCACCGCGACGAATACCTTGACAACATACTCGCACACGAAGCTCTCCCGACTCCTCGCCCAGTGCCATGTGTTGGATGTTGTGACCCAGCGTCTATGGGCGTGTATCGCTGCCAAGACTGTTGCGGAGGTCGGGTGCTTTGCAAGGGCTGCATTCTGGGTGCTCACCAATGGCTTCCACTACATCATCTTCAGGTAGTTTTCTTTTATTCATCATCGTAAACGCACTCGCTGATGGCCACACATTTCTCTCTAGATGTGGGCAGACGGCTGTTTTCGCTCGGTTTCTCTTCAAGAACTTGGGCTGAAGGTGCAGCTGGGTCACCCCAATGGCAAATCATGCTGTAACTTCGTCAAAGGACACGCAAACTTTGTGGTCTTCGACTCCGAGGGGTACCACTCGGTCAACCTCCTGTTCTGTGACTGCAAAGTACCCGACACGCGCTCCCATAGGGACCAACTTCTCGACATCGGATGGTATCCGGCGTCCGTAATACAACCACAGACGGCGTTCACGTTCCGATTCCTCGACACTTTTCATCGTCTCACACTTCAAGGCAAGATATCACTCCACGATTATTACCTCTCGGTTATCCACAGAACCGACAACGCAGGTCTCCAACAACGAATTGTCAGTATCTCTCAAGCGCGTGTTGTTCACACCACTTATTTATAACTCATGGCTACAGTATCGGTATCACGAGGCGGCTCTCGCCGCACGGCAATACGCTCACCTGATGCAAGCAAAGCGAATGGGCCGCGGGCACGATCCCTCTGGTATCAGCGGCACTCAGCGAGGCGGCCTTGCGCTTCCCTGCCCGGCGTGTCCGCAACCAGATTGGAATTTGCCGAAGGGATGGGAAAGCGCTCCGCCGGAGATCAAGTGCGTTGCGATGCTGAAGGCTAGTCTGCGTTGGTAACCTTTTTACAGATGGCTATATGCATTATTTCTCGCACTGGACGCCTGCTTCAAGATGAAGAATAGAGACAGGAAGATCGATGATCCCGAGCTTGGGGGTGGTACGGGATATTTTGTCGATGAAGCAGAATATCAGGCGCACCTCAAACGGTATGTTGAGGAGCCCGAGGTGAGCAGCGAAGGTTGTCGTTCGAACTGTGCTAACTTTGGGGTGCAGAAAATCGATCCATGCGACTCCACATTCCACGCCATCAAAGCGGTGAATAGTAAGAAGGCATCAAGCGACGTCATGTCTGTTTCAGGCGTTGCTGCTGTCAAATGCGCCAGACACGCGTTGATGGTGCCGAACGGCGTCGCAGATCTCCAACGCGGTGAGAAGTACGTATTCAATAATTCCGTCTGCATGTCGAAGGCTGACTCGTTGCAGATATGTCACGATGGACTGGATTTTCTGGTCCAGCCTTCTTCTGGTCGGGGCGATGCTTCCTGTCATTGCGAGCTACGACATCGCATGCCAATGGAAGCAGAACCTTCGCCGCCGACAGTCGAAGCTTCCTGCGTCCTACGCAGCACTCGCCGTCATCGCAATACGATTCTTTATACCGAATTTCCATATCAACGGACATAAACTGAAATGTCAGACCGAATTCTATTTTCTCCTGCACGAGGACGTTGGACTGACCCATGCCGAGACCGTGGAGCAAGAATGGGCACACATCGGCGGAGTCGCAACAATGACTCGTGATATGGGCCCATCAGCTCGACACCATACACTTAACGACCACTGGACGTTCTGGAACTTCCGCAAGATTATAGGATTCGGTATGCAGGTTACCTCATTCTCATTCCGCTGTTCATTCCTTGCCGCTAGGAGACTGGTTCTATCGGTCGCTCACCAATACCCAAGATGAGATGCGGACACATCAAGAAGTTCTTCACGAATTTACGGAACGTTTCTCGAAAGAGACTATTCAGGACTGGGAGTTGATGATACGGCGGTGGGAGCAAGATCCTAAACAGCCAAATCCTTACGAGGAGATCGAGGAAGGTAACGTCTTGTTTGACTCTCCGTCCATGGCACATGTGCACTAACCTATGTCGACAATTCAGCCATCAATGTCAACAAATTGCGTGGCGAACTCGCTAAGGAGGATGCAGCAGAGGCAGGCCAACCCGACGCAACGGCACTACACGCGACATCCGGGAATATGTTCGTCCATCAAACCTTCTGCCTCCTTGATCAGCGGTGAGTTCTTGATATGGTCCGACGCGGTCACAACCGTCCTGACCTGAAACGTTAGTCGCAAACTCCGCCAGCACGCGGTGGATACCAAGGCCCATGCTACCGAAGCTGCAAAGGCCACATTGCAAGAGCGGCGCGCAGCATTTCGCCGCCGGGTCTTCGAATTTTACCGAATCCAGAATATCTACATGCCCGGGTGTATAGAGGAGCGCACGTCTCAACTGGGAGAAGACGACCTTGGCTCGGGTGACACAATTAACGCCGAAAATCTCCCGATTCTACTTCCTTCGGACCTCAAGGCCATGCTGCGTAGCAAAGGATGCCTTCCGGGGATTGTCGACACCGAGAAACGCTACGCCGAGGCCTTGTTGAAGGATAGCTTAGTCAATGTGCGGCGCTTTCAGCGCCTTGTGGCGTCGGTACGACAGAAAATGAAGCATACTGCCGGTAGTAAGTTGCTAATTTTATGCAGTCGTGCCCGAGAACTCATAAATCCGGCATAGGTCAACGGGAGGGAACGAGGTCCCGGTCCCTCATGGATACGGTAGCTGCGAAGCTCAATCGCGCATTCGACACGTATGGGTCGGCGTATACCGCGATGCGATCCCTAGACCCACACGGACCCTGGTCTCTACGCTTCCGGGAATTACGCCGCGAGGATCTTCGTGGCCCACGCCGTCATGACAACAGCGCATACTCTGAAGAGCAGCCCTCGGTGTGATGAGAAGAGAAGGACAATTTATTTTCGCATTTTTCATTTCTAAATATGGACTTATCATTTTCCTTTTCCCACCTTTCCTTTTCCAAAGTCACGTGACCTTCAGTGGCAGCAGTACAGCATCATTGACACTGCCCTGCACTGCCTTGCACTGCCTTGCACTGCCTTGCACAGCCACCGGAGTTTTGTTCCGCTTACTCATGAACAATGACTCGTTATTCCTTCTAACTCCTTGATTCATAATCCTGACCCACCTAAGTGGGTCGGTCTTACTCATCCTTGTGCCCTGCATGTGATTCTCTTGTACTATTCTTGGACCATGGATTTGTGTATATAAGACCCCTGTAGCTCGCCCTAAGTCCCCATCTCGACCTCTTGTGTC